CGTGATTTCCAATTATTTCCTCTGCCTCATACAGCCGGTTTTACCTTGTATATTTTCCACGGATTCCCGAAGATTTCATTCGATCCCGTCACGAGGAGAGTTTCCAGAAGCTCAGATGTTATTCTTTGCTCAATGCTCCAGCATTTTGTTTAATCGATCCTACAACCATACATATCCAGTTTTACCTTTTATCCTAGAGTATCAGTCGGTCGCGCCTGAATCTGTTGAACAATTACTCTTAGATATTCTCCAGTGGAGGTCATCTTACCGGTACTATCTCCATTGAGGATCCCTTTTTACCTATCCCGCTAAAAGTGACAATTGGTCGTGCTCGCACCAGTTGGCCCTCACTTTAGTTTTCCCTGTGTCGTGATGTTTCCCCAGTGCGTCGTATTCCCCAGTTGGGTTCATTCGTCGCGTCCGTCCCCTGTGTCGTTGTGTCGTCTGCATTTATCATTTCCATCACATACATCATATTAGATTCGTAACATTGTTAGCATTTTAGTTCGTTTGTTTTGTCCGTAGCATTGCATATCACTGCATCTAAGGGCAAACTTTTCGGTGATCTATATTTAAATCCCTTTCACCATGATTTCTCGAGCCTACATCGCTCAAATCATCTGGTGAAGTTATTTAAATAGGGGCAACTGTAACACCCTAAATTTTTCCCTAAGATTAGTAGGTTCATTTTGCATCCCATTTCGTTTTGCATTACATTTAGCTAACCACTAACGAATTTGTGTAGTTGGTTGCTGCAGAAAAAATCACGTTGCGCGCTCGTTAGCTTATGAAGGGTAAAATGGTCATTTACTCGTAGTCGGCTGTCAATTTACGAATCTGAGTTGTAGTCAGGGAATTTGAACCATTTGAATTTACTGGTGTGAATTGAAGCCGAGGGTGTTAATGGGAATAGTTTGAGCCGGGTGAATTAAGTCAATTCAATTTATTTGGATGAGGTTAGTCGGAAAAGTGTGGTCATTTCATTTTAATCGAACATATTAGATTTATTCAGGTAAGGTTATCGGAAATTTTATCAGAGATGAGATTTAATCGGATGAATTGAATAAATTTTGAATTAATAAAAAAATTAGAGTTTATTTTATTATTGAGATCACCATATTCAAATAATAAAGTATAACTTTAATTATGTTTTATTTCATTTTAATATCAAAAAATATTATGTTTTATTTCATTTAATTATTAAAAATTGTTTTATTGTGTTTTATTTCATCTTATTAAAAAAAATTATTATGTTTTATTTCATCTTAATATAAAAAACAGGGTTATTGTGTTTTATTTTATTTTAATATCAAAAAAATAATAATAATAATTTTATTTCATTTTTATCAAAAAATAATAATAATAATGTCATTTCATTACAATATCTAAAAAAATAAATCACTTTATTATAATATCAAAAAATAAATTTATTTCTTTACAATATCAAAAATAAATAAATAAATTTACAATTTGAATTACATTTTTTTCCTAAAAAATTTCTAATTGTCCTAAAAGTCTTCATTCCGATTCTTCAATTTTCCGATTATTTCTTCGAACCTGCATATCAATAACAAACAAACAATTTTAATCGGTTAGAATTTTTCGTCCGATACCCTCAGAACGAGTGTCATCATCGGGTACGTCGGGAGGGCAAAGACGAAGTCGTCGCAGACTCCCGACTCAGTTCCGACATCGGGCTAAAACCGGCAGCTTCTGCTCTTTTTTCAAGGCATCCAGAGAGAAAAAGTGATTTTTTTCGAAGTGCTTTTGGAATAACCTGTCTGCGAAAAATGATTTTTTTAAAAAAGTGACTGTGACAATAAGCGCTTTTGAAAAGAACTTATTCGAAAAAAATTCGCCAAACAGCCAACCATCTCAAATCTGGAAATAACAAACTTCCAAAATCATTTCAACAACAGAAGCGTCAAACTCGCAGGATCAACAGCAAAACCGAAAAAATTGCAGATCATCAAGCCAACCAACCGTGGTTTTCGTAACCTCAAAAACAAAGAGTAACAACATCATAAAATTTGGGACATATTCAAATTTCGATTCAACAAATCAGGACAACCAAATCCAGGCCCATAAGATTAGAAGAATAAGAAGCAACAATATAAGAACAATAAAAAGGAACCCTGAAGGTTCATGAGAGCGCCGTCGAACAGAGAAGAAGGGGGATCGGAAAAAAAGAGTTTGTCAGGAACATCAGAAGATTCAGAAACCCGGAAGTTCATCATCATCATCCTCATAAAGGAACCTCCAATAGGGATTCAAAAACCCAGAAATCTCCCACCATAAATGTCATCATCACCATCAGAAAAACCCAGAACTCAGAAGGACGAAGCCTCGTCTCCTCATCATCGTTCACCATCAAGCACAGATCACTTCAAACCCATAAAGAAGGTGAGTAATCTGGATAACATATGTTTTTTTTATTTATTTTTTACAGAAAAGTCATAAAGATCATCAGAGGAAGAAAGACGGACAAGAAGTGGAAGAGGAAAGGCTCGCGAAAAGCCTCATGCAAGCCGATGCCGCGCCCTGTGAAGTAGGGGAGAAGAAGAAGAGGAAAAATAGCAAACCCTAGAGAGAGTTTCCAAATGAACTTGTTCCCCTCCATTCCTCATTTAGTAGTCTTTTCATTTTTTTTTAATTGGTAATTAGTCTTTCATTAATTTTTGTTTAGTACCATTTTTTAGGTTATAGTTTTGTTAGCAACATTTGTTATCTTAATAACATAGGATTTAGAAAAAACTTCTTTGTATAATTTAAAATCCATCTATATTTTATTCCAATCAAAACTTTTTTTAATAATCAAGAATTTTTTTAATTCAAGCATCTAAAATTGAGTTTTTTTAATAATTGAATCCTTTTAAAAAATTTAAAACTTCTAAAACTAAAACTTTTTTTCAATATAAAAAAAAACAATAAAAAAACCCTTTTAGAAATTAAACCTTTTTTCAAAAATTAAAATTTAAACCCTTTTTCAACAATAAGGCTTGGTGAATAAATTTAAATTCAATTTTAAATTTAATCTTTCAAGACTAAAATGCTCGGTGTAAGTGCTTCAGTTAGTCCAAAAATTTTTTGTGAAATACGGCTAGGAGTCGCCTTACTTTCATTGTTTCTTATTCGTCATTTTCATTATGTTTTGATATTTGTGGGTTGTAATCATGCGAGTACATCATCGCATGTTCTTCTGTCATTTATTTTTGCAATTTTTTATGATTTTTGATTTACGCGAGTAATCGTCGCATTGCACTTTTCTTACTATTCTCGCACTTCTGTCTATGTCGATGCTGCCATATAATAATTCATCCTTTGCACTATTTGCCGTTTAAAACCTTCCGAAGGATTAGGTCTAACAGTTTGACTGCCTAGTCAATAGCCTTACCCTTTGAATGTTTCAAAACCCTAATTGCCTAGGTGTCCTGCCGTGGACGAAAATGCTCTTACCCTAGTATTAGGTCAAAGAGTTGTCGTACTCTGTTTTAGAATTTCTGGCCGTGGAACATTTAGTTAACCCTAATTTCAATTCAACTATTTTAACATAGAGATTGGAGTCGTCGGACTCCACGTAAGCGTTTCCTTAAGAAATGCTTACTCTCCATTGAAACCTTGACCACAGTCAAGAAGTTTCTAACCTCCCTTTCTAGGGGAACTACGATTACTCTGATTCCATCCCCTACGTTGGATACATAGGCACAAGATGCGAATCTTGACAAGTAAATTTAGGACTAACCCTTAGGTCTCTTGTCACTCTTAACTCTTAGCTCACATATACCTTCAAACAGATAATAAAGTAAATAGAAAATTTTAAACAAAAGGTTCATGTAGAGTACTACAGAAGTTTAGGGTGTTAATACCTTCCCTAAGCTTAACCAACGTCTTACCTAGATCTCTCCCCGCATTGTTTACGATGCAAAATTAGGTTTTCCTTCTTTTGACCTTTTCCTTAGGATAAATCAAAGGTCGGTTATGAACTAAAGATTTGATTCAAACTAATTAATAGTTTGATATCCTATTCTCACCGCAACATTTTCATTCTGAGTTGGACATGTTTGAACACTTTTGAAAATAATTTAGATTTTCCTTGCACTTTTTTCAGAACTATCTTGAATATCCTGTTTGTTTGGTTTAATAGTTTCCTTTCTTCATTCATTATGTTTGATCTTGTCGGCTGGTTGTTTTGGGATGAATAATATCTTGTCTACATACTTGAATGGTGAATTGAATGACGTTTGAATGGGGCGATCCTCATGGTAGATGTTATTGATTCTTTTCCTGTTATGTTTGTTAATGATTGCTTGAGATATACTTTCTTGTTGTGTTTCGATTCTTTCTTCTTCTATTGTATGATTGCTTGGGAAACTTCTATTTTTGTCCCGAACTGTTTTGGAAAGAAAGATACAGGTCGATTTAATGCCTATGATGTTGTTTTGCCCTGATTTCATCACGTCTTTAATGTTATTTGCTTGATTATATTGAAACTCTTGATAACATTTACTAATATTTTCCTTTGCCTTTCGAGGTACGATCCCGAGAGTGAAAGCATCAAAGATAATCCATTGTTTTATAGCGTAATCCCGTGACATATTAGGGACTTTGTTTCAACGAGGGGTGGAAGTTTAGGTGCGCGTTGGTTGAGTTACCTGTTACTGACTTTCCTTTTTAAACTCAAAAGAAGAAAAAAACAGACACGTTTGAATTAATTCCTTTCCACTATTTGGTTTGATGATGAAGGTTAACTGTGTTTGGATTGGTTTTACTGAGAAAGAAGCTTGGTATTACTTGCAGATGCAACCTTAGCATGTGGATATCTGCTATCACAAGCTCTCACGTCGGAGTCGACCATTCTTCATCACCGACCTCTAAATTCACAGGCTACTTATACCTCTTACTCAGAATTTCCATTAATTTAAATTCCACTTCTGTAATTCATTTTAAGCTGATTTCTATGGATCATGAGCCGAACGAATTCCCTTCTTTTCATCTTGCTCATGTGTGGAGATGGTTTTGTTTTAAATGGTTGTGAGCATTACGTTATAACCTGTGCTTTCTACATGTACACATACCAACACATAATTATTATGTATGGTGACGGTAATCGCGATGTGAACACAGTATCAGCAACACATACAATTGCACACGTTGTGTTGCGTGATCGTGCTGTTAGACACAATTTCTTAAGTTACCAGCTATATCTTCACGTGGCAATCTCACTTGCCGCATACACTCATCACTCAGATACACTTCACAATTTGAGGTAGGATATGCATATACGATAACTATGTGTCATGAATAATATTAGCATGGTTCTCTTAATTCAGTGAGTGATGTTCCTGCAGGTAATTCGAGATCAATCTTCCAAAGCTTCATTACTCTTGTAATGTGTGTGTGATTCGACCTCGTGAATGGCAGTAGAGGAACAAATCAATTGGTCTTGCAGTTCTCTCACGGTGGTAAATAGAAGCTCTTTTCAGTAAAATTGGTGTCCATGCCAAGTTTCACAATACGTCTAAATACCAAAGGCTGAGTCTTGTTTGATGTGGAAAAGAGAGCTCCTTTACTCTTCCTTTTTTGGAGTAGAATCGTACAATGATATGAGTTTTAGAACGTAACAAAGTTTACATCTTGTATCAACTAAGCTCGACATTTGAATGGATTGTGAACCGAATTTACTCATAAAATCCTTTGATGCTTTGATCTATGCAAATAAATATGCATACCATCTTGTATTTTGTAATCTTTGGTGATGAATTCCAAAAGTTTAAAAATGGTCCTTTCTTATCACTTTGGTCTTTTTAAGTTCTTTTGCAAATGCACTTTGAGTTTGGTAACTTGGAATTATGGGATTATACTCAAAAACTCTTTTGGGTTAAACTTAACTTAGAACTCTCTTTGGAAATTCTATGTTGTGTGAATTGAGACACAATTTGACCCAATATGATTGAAAATGGTGTAAGATCCTTGGAATTTTGTAATTTATACTCCAAGTTGTTCTCATAAATCTTCCTGTGTTTTATTATGTTTTTGAAAACTTGATGACATAAAGGCTATCTTTGCATGTTTTAAAAACTTAAACTTAAAATAATGCTTCATTTTGAAAACCTTGAGTACTACGTTCCGTTGCAACTTGGTTCTCAGATGGTCCCGTTGAATGATCTCTGAACCTATCACTTATAACCTTGTAATTGAAACTTGGAATGGTAAATTTCTCACGGTGGAATGAAAGTGAGCTTTCAAGCACACTGCCACTCAAACTACCAATAGTGCAATCTAGATTCTTTCTCTTAAATCCAGAAGATCACACTCCATGGGTAAGAATAAAATATTCTTGTATTAGACTTGAATTTTACCAAACTTGGTCTTAATGGGATGGAAATTCCAAATCCAGTGTACTTGACTGATAGTGTAGTTAAAACTTAACTGATTATCCATTGAGGTCCTTTTGGAGCAAGTCCCTGATTCAACAGTGAATAAACATTACTAGTAGAGCATAAAGACTTGGGTTAGCTATGCAAGTATGATTGACTTAGAAATCTTACGCCAGACGATGCATGGAAAGGTGGGGTCTTAGGGTTAGAAATTAGGGTGTGACACCATGGTAAAGAATCTTGTTTCTCATAGTCGGACCATACACATTAACATAAAGCATCACTTCATTCAAAGTGTGATGGAAGGAGATGTGCAATTAGCTTTTTGCAGTCATAAGAGCAGCTTGTAGACATTTTTACTAAAGCACTACCAAGATTAAGATTTCAACAACTTAGATGAGCAATGTGAGTTAAAGAACAACACATTAAGGGAGAGTGTTAAAATTAATGTGTTATAACCACCACTATATTTAGTAAGCATTATGAGATAATTGTAACCATCACATTATAATTATTGTCTTTATTTAGATTTATGGTAGAGTTGTATCATTAAGATTGAGAGAACCAAAGACTCTTCATCTTGATTATCAACTTACTGTCATCTCTGTCAGTTTCCTTCAAGCCTATATAAAGGCTTTGTAATGCTAATTTGTATGTAAGAGAAAAAGAGTATGTGGTGAATTCAATAAAATCAGAGTATTTCAAAGCCTAACCTCCACTAGTGGAAGTTCAGTGAAAAACGTAACTTTAAAATATTTTCTTACTCTAAATTCTGCAACGATATATTTTATCACATACCACATCTAGAATACCACCAACAATAGTTTATGATCATTTTAAAAACTATTTTTGTAAGCCCTATCAAATGCTTATGCTATTAGATAGGCCTAAATCAGTTGTTGTTGAAAAGAAAATTCAAATGTAGTCCAAGTATTTATTGTATATGTAAGAGATATTATGTATAAGTTGTTTCGAACAAGCATAGTTAAGTAGGTATAAAATAGGTGTTTATTGTATAATAGCTTTTTGTTGGAATTAACCCAAAATTTTGAGAAATTCTGAATCAATCTTGATGAACAAGATTTAATCAACCGATCAAAATTCCTTGTTCTTCACTCTTCACTCAAGTGAAACAACCACACCTTGATTGCAAGAATGCTTCTGCACAACAATTGTTAATGGAAGAAGAAAGAAAGGAAATTGAATAAGAAAGAATATTAGGGTTTGACAAAATAGGGGAAGAGGAGAATGATTTCTGCAGAGTAACTCTCTGCTCTAAAACTAAGAAATTATTATTCAACTGTGCAACTTCATTTTTTGTTGCGTGTTACAATATTATTCTCTATTCTTCTTACTCAAAATAGGGGTTACTCCTTCTATTTATAATTGAGTTAGCTTGCTCCCTAAGGTAAAGCCCAAAATTTCTATTTTGGTCTAAGTCGAAATCCTGTGTCAAGCAACCTGCTTCGACACTTCAACATCTAACACAACTCGAAATATACACAATACTAGGCTAATTTTGACAGATCCTTGTTTCTGTCAAGCTACACTTGCTTCGACACAAGGAATTACAATCTCTATACACCACTTAATTCATTGTGTCTAAGCTATCTATATTCATCATAGACCTTAGCTTCTTGAACACTTAGACTTGCATTCCTTTTGTCATAATATTTGTAATATGATTCTCAGTTCTGTAGTGTTTCAAGTTCATCTTCCCTTTTGCTACTTGCTCTCGAAGATAATGGAACCTGATTTTGATGTGCTTGCTTCACCCATGTGTTGTCAGATTCTTCGTCAGGTTGATAATTGAGATGTTGTCGATCTTCATGGTAATTGCTCTATTACTCTTCGCTATAATCTCTTCGACCAGGTTCACCATCCACTTTGCTTGAAATGCACACAGAGAAGTTATTATGTACTATGCTTCACACGATGACAATGCCACTTGTTATATTGAGAATCGGATATCAAGCTATTGACTTAACTTAAATCAAAAATCATGAAGTTCACCACCGAGCTTTGATTTATCCAAAGGAAAGGGTAAAGATCGAAGAAAATCTTAAGTGCACTATGTAACAACGCAACTAAGAGATCTAAAGTTCGGGGGTTGGTTATACCTAGGGAAGGTGTCATCATCCTAAGTATCTGTAGTACTCTACAGGAACCTCTTGTTAGTACTTATGTTATGCTAAAGTGTGATTGCTAAGGGAACTATGCTAAGGTAAAGATATACAAAGTATGTACAAAGTATGCTCACCAAGACAATGTCTACGTATCCTAACAGGAATTGAATCAGAGCAATCGTAGTTCCCATCAATAGGGGTGAGGAACTCTTGATTGTGGTCAAGGTTCCAAAAGGAAAAAAGTAAATGACTACGGTGAGAGACCTACATAGAGTGCGGTGACTCTAAACCTAAGACTAGGTGTTGTAACACCCCCTTTCTATACCCCCAAATAAACAATTAAATCATTTAGGCACATATTAAAATTTCCATCAGAGTATAATTAAAACATGGTATAAAAAAGGCATGTCACATTATCGTGAAATTAAAACATCCAACACCCGCTCAACAATTGATATGCAACAATGAGGTAACTTGCAACAGAGGAACTTAGTCCTTACACCCACATCTCAATATTTAGAATAAAAGCGGAAAATCTAAACATTGATTAATCATCAAACGTATAAACATATATACATCATCCATCATGATTCAATCAACATAAAACATGTTTTCATAAACATTCAACATCCAGATACATATACAATGCATCACAAAAGGATCATATATCTCCTAGCTACCCGGTGCTACATATCAGAGCCGACCGACCAAAGAATGAAGACACGCTTCAAAAAAAGAACTCCAGCAGATCTACTCTGCAATGCCTCATATAGCATCATAAAACAGCAGAAGGGTGAGAAACATTATCATAATAATCAATGCATATAATTATATATATATATATATATATATATATATATATATATATATATATATATATATATATATATATATATATATATATATATATATATATATATATATATATATATATATATATATATATACATACTCCACGTTCTCACCACATTTCATCATAATTCATTCATATACATCGCAATGTACATATTCACAATTCACCTCATTGCACATAAACATACACATTCATGTTTCTTCACCATAATTCATCATAAAGTACACACACACAAACACACAGATATATATATATATATATATATATATATATATATATATATATATATATATATATATATATATATATATATATATATATATATATATATATATATATATATATATATATATATATATATATATATATATATATATATATATATATATATATATATATATATATATATATATATATATATATATATATATAACACCAAGCATATTTATCATGTATATAACCACAACTCTCATCATTCCACATAAACATAGACATTCATGTTTATTCACTAATGCATCACTATACGGATGACAAATGCAAATCATATAGACCGACACACAACTCTATGCAGATGCAATGCGGTACCGACTCAATCATCATCAAGTTCACTCAGGAACTTATTGGAACCATCGCTCGTTACCGAAGTAACTCCTCGTCGGGCCTACGATGTTCACCCATTGCTCACACCCCACATGGGCACACAATCCGATTGCTCACACCCCACATGGGCACACAATCCGATTGCTCATACCCCACATGGGCACACAATCGTTCAGCAGATTCTCCTAGGAATCAATTCAGCAGATTCTCCGAGGAATCAATTCAGCACAAGAATGCACATCATGACACTCTTGAAATGCACACATATTCACAAATATATTTTCATGCATCCTTCACATACTATCGCATATAATCAATATGCACTCACAATATATATATCCCATAATACATATATATATATATATATATATATATATATATATATATATATATATA